GCATGATGTTGCTCTCTGCACATTGTTGCATTTAGACCACAAAGCAGCCTGGATGTTTGCTTCATTATGGTGCAGAACATCTTATATGTTCTATAGAGGGATGCACAATACATCATTTCAGCATCAAGAGTGCAACGTGTGCAGGAACAACAGTCGCACTGCAGGAAGTGCAATGTGTAGTACGGCAAATTAACTGAAACACTTCCTGCTGCGACTTTTTCTGCTGCTTGATTTCAAAAGAGAACTCACACAGTTCCCATCTTCCATGACTTATCTACAAGAGAAGTCTGTCTAATATGTAATTTATTCCGATTTAAGTGTTCTTAGATAGGCAGCTTTTTATTTTTTTTTGTACTTAATTCAAAAGACAGACTTTGTTGACATGCAGGCTCACATGTGCACAGCTAAGTGAGTGTGAAACGGAAGAAACAGCATAAAGGAGACTTGATTCTATGAAGAAATGCAACATCAGTTGTATGGAAATACTTCAGCGACAGAAAGGATGAAGCTGAGCAAAAAAAACAGGTTCTCTGTCAGCAGTGAAGCTGTCACTACATGTAGCAACACAACTAACAACCATTTAAATCAGCGCTGCAAAGCTGTGTGTGACGAGGGCAAAGCCAGATGTGAACACCATCCGCAGCAAAAACTATTTCTGGAAGTCTTTGCCAGTGTTGCACCATATGAGAAAGGTTCCCAATGGCTTTTTTTCACATGCACTCTCCCACAAAATCCCCCCAATTATTCTAGAATTATTCACTCTTTCCTCATTAAAATTCCTGTACTTGTTTCATATCAACATATACAACGCAGCAAACTGCAATGTCAGTTTATTCACACATTGTGCAACCCCTAGTTCTTTATGCTGTTTGCAGGTTTTGTTGTGTGTCTGCTGGTTGCCAGGCAGCTGGTTGTTTTCACATTTTGGGTTCTTTTATAAAACAAAAATGAGTTTCAGAGGTGCAGATAGGTGGATTTATCTGTCTGACAGAGCCAGTCTACCGGTTTCCTCTTACGTCCAGTCTCTCCGCTGAACTGAGCTAAACAGCTGCTGTTTCAATCTCCTGCTCCGACTCTTTTCCCAAAGTGTTTGAATATTCCTTTGCACAATCGCATCAACTGAAATTATAACAATATAACGGCAAATTTTGACACAGGGCCCCTCTAGGCAAACACGAAGAGGTCACCTTAAGACCAGCTTTGGTTGTGTTTTTGGCGAACTAATTGCCGCACAGTGAAGCTGGAGCCTCGGGCCTCCCGGAGGGTCTGAGGCCGTGTCACATTTAGTCCCTTCGTCTGGTATTTCGCTTTGGGCTCTTTGGAAAGTGTGCTGGGAATTTTTCACCATTCTGACATTTTATTAGACAAAAAAGCTAAATCGATTTATAAAGAACATGTGAACTGATTCATCAGTTGTTTTGTATACGAGAGCAGAGTTGGTACTAGAGTTCCTCTGGAGTGTGAAAACTTGTGCTGAAAGTGGGAGCTCAGGCATGTCTGCTGTGTCTGAGCAGCTGAGCGGGGACAAGGCTCCCAGCTGGGTAAAACCATTCCCAGTGTCCCCCCCTCCCAGCCTCACCCCCATCCCCACCTGCCACCCTCCCCTGCTGGGACGTCTGAGGGTCACTAGGCCACTTTGGGTTGCTGCTGAGTCAAAAAGGACTCATCAGACTGAACCAAACAGTGGAGAGTGACGGGTAATGGGTGAAGTGAAGTGGTAAAAGTGATTACAGGATGTGCAGTTGAGTGTGAGAGCAATCTGACGTGCTGCGCAAATGAGGAACAGTCCAGCAGCAAAGTGGGGGTTAATAGGGCAGCGGGGTGCGGATCCCAAAGGGTCGCGACTGCTGGGTTCCTGCCCCTCCAGCGTTTCCATGGGCACCGTAGCACTTAGCATCCACTTCCGGTTTCCCTCCTGCTCCTCCTTCGGGCAGTGATGCTAGATTTTCTTGAGTGCAGCGGCAGCAGCAGCAGGAGAATGAATGAATAAGTAAAGACTTTCCCCTCTGCTCCCTCGTCACATTCAGCAAAGCAGACTTCGCAGACCTTCCATATGGAATAATTCAATAGGCAGCGCCTGGGGGAGCGACGTGGCAGCGCGCAGACAATTGCAGGCAGGGAAGCAGACAAAGGACAGCGGCGCTCGGCTCAGTGCTAAACCGTGATTATGTGGCCCTGACATGTAACACCGACGTGATGGCATGAAGTCGCATCCGATGCGGGCGTGATGGATGGTGTGTATGTAACGCTGCTGATACCCTCATGGAACAGCAAAGCATTGTGGGAGCTCCGGTCACGGCTGGAATATAAATATTACAGAGAGCTTAAAGCCAACATGTGTAGCGCAGGCCAGAGGTGCAGAGGATGGAGGGAGAGTTTCAAAGTGACGGGAATGAGGAAAAGAAAAATGAAACTGAGACGACTGAATTTATCCACTTTGAGAGCATTTCCATCCCCCTTTCCCTTCTCTTTTTGCCTCCCCCATCTGTCTCTCTCTCTCTCTTCCTCTTTCTGTCTCACTCTCCCTCTCTCGCTCCCCCTCTCTCTCTCTCTCTTTGGGGCACCGGGTCTTTGATCAGACGCTGAAGCTATAAACATTACCAGCTGGCCTTGTGCTCCACATAAAGAGGTCAGCCGAGTCGGGGGGCGGAGGGGGCCGCATTTTCGAGAGCAGTAACTCTACTCTCGGCGGCCGGCGGCACCCACAGCAGACATCTGGGAGAACTTCTCCATTTCAGAGACACTCTGAATCAGCTAAAAACAAACCCTCCTCTGACACACACACACCCTATCAAACACGCCAGAATAGACAATAAGCTTGTGTTCCTCTTTTTACAAGCCAGTAGTAACACTTCTACCATCTGTTTTCTGGAGGAAAAAAATACAGCCAGCTACAGGTATCTGTTTGGGTGGGGAGAAAGAAAAGGACGGGTGGCTGTGATTTGCTATTCACCAACTGGTGCATTTATCATTCATGAATGAAAAGAACAGAAGAACTGCTAAATATTCCCTCGCTGACCTTTCAGAGCTCACTTTTTGTCCTTCCGATGAACGGATCGCATTTCAGTCACAATCTGAAATGTGACTTGACACAGCGCGAGCAGGTCCCGAGAAAAATGTGTTAACTATCCAACATGTGACATGTGTACAGTTTTAGGTTGCTGGAAGGAGAGCAGGTTAAAGGTCGCTGAGCAGAGAATGGATGCATCACTGTTGCAGCACGGCTGAAGGGAGGCCAGGCTTCAAGGTGCTACATGGAGCTTCGTTGTGAGCGAGTAAAAGTGAATTAAGTGTTGCTCACCGACATATTGTGTTCATCCTTTAGCTCTAAGAAAGTGCTGAATCCATTTCCTTCCTTAAACACAATTGCAACAACATTTTTTTTTTTAATATTTTCAGTTGTGCAATGTTTACATCTATCTTGCATTCTTCCTCTACTGCACCACTTCACTTTCAGTTTTGTTTGTTTTTCTTATGCTCGCAACTTTTTATCAGCAAGATGGAGTCAAAGCCATCAGCAGGAAAAGTGCATGTAGTTGCTCACATGCATCCTCTTGCATGTGCACAAACCAATCAGGTACATGCTCGGAAAGGCGCTGCCCCTAGTGGTCAGAAAACTTCACAGGGTGACTTTATGCCTTCTTGCTTCTACTTACAGATGTTAATGATCAACTAATAGCCTTTAATAATTTAAGCTATTAAAAATGAATTAAACAATAAGTCCAAAGACGAAGGACAAGCATGTCAGAAAAGGTATTGTGAAGGTTTAGCCAGCAACGGGCACCATGACAAAGACTTCATTGGTGGTTAATAGACTTTGGGCAGAGCTCACATAATGAAGATGAGCCACAGTCTGCCAAGTCAGCGTACCTTAATGACAAATAATCAAGCCACTTTTGTGACTAATGCCACACATCTGTTGGAAAAAAAAGCAATATTCACATGAAATAGAGTGCATTTGTGTTATTGATTAATAATCCTGCAGACTTCTGGTTTAGAAAAGGACTCAAAGTTTGCGTCTCTACTTCTAGAATTAAAATGGAGGAAAATCTAGCATGCAACATGCGTCAAAGGGAAGTCCAGGACTGTGTGTGTCCACTGAAATGTGAGTAGGATGACTGTGCATGTCTCATTTAGGCTTATATTACATATTCAGTTATTCTGCTGATGGCTTTTTCTAATAATCAATCGTGAAAAAGGCTCATTAGGAGCTTGTTTTGTCCGAACAGATGCCCAAAACCCACATATATTCAGACGACTGTCAAATATGACTGGGAAAGAATGATTAATATTCATATTTGAAATGCTGGGAGCAGCACATATTTTGGCACTTGAAAAATATGTAAGCAATTCATTAGGAAATGCACTGCTGATTAATACGCATCGATCTGCCAATTAATCACTTGAATTACCATACAGAGCAAATGATCGCTTCTGCCCCAAAAACTAACGAACACATACCACAGGGCCTTTCCCGTATCTCACACTGATGCCCTCAGTGGTTTGTGTGTGTCGTGTGCTTCGCATGGTTTCCCCCTGTCTGTGTGTACACTGGCTCTGCTGAGTGGAAACATTATTGTGTGTGTGTGTGTGCAGCCCAGTGTGTTTTCAGTACAGTTTTAACTCTTGCCCGCTGAATGGCACATTGTAAAGAAAAAGCCCAGGCATTAAGCTCGCCCTATTAACAAACCTGTGACATCACTACTGGACATAGGAGCCCTGTTCTCCACATAATAGAACTATTGAAACCCCTTCACTACCATCACTGTCCACGGCACACCAGACTCCAGCAGTAAACCCATGTGCGAAAACCATCACCTGTTGCAGCTTAGTGTCTGGCCTGAATGTGAAGCCTGTGGGCGTTTCGGAGGCACCGACGGATAGTTATTGGTCCCAGGAGCACATGGGGAGATAGAGATAGAGATAGAGACACAAGAGAGGGTGTATGTGTGTCCTTGACGGGGGTTGGCACGGAGCCAGAGTGAAAAAATAAACTGTACCTGACCGGCTGTGTCATACAGTCCCAGCAAGTACTGCTTTCCACCGACGTTGACACTCACTGCAAGGAAACGACAAAGAGCAGTTGAGAGGAGGAAGCAGAGAGGTGAGGGTGGGGAGGGAGAGCACAGAGGGAGGGAGGCTCAGGGTCCCCCCAACCCCTCTGTGCTATGAAGACTGCAAACAAGTGGTTTTGATTATAGCAACAGATGCAATGCAGTTGGAGAAAGAGTGGCAGAGGAAACAGGGAATTCACTCAGGGATTATTCTGCACAACATCCTCCCTCTTATTAGAACTGATTGATCATTAGAGAAACTCAGAGCAGCAGCAGCAGCATGACATGTAATTATCAGACGCTCATGATAAACAGATAACAGGAGAATTGTGCTCCTACCTGCATAATGATCAAACACTGTGGGCACATACTCCTCTGGAAAGGCGTCATTGGCATAGCTCATCAGAAGACACGTTTTGCCCACTGCACCGTCTCCGACCACGACGCATTTTAACATGATAGTACCGGTTCCGTTAGCCATGATCCCGACCTTACCACCATCATCACCGGCCCCCCGACGCCCTCCTGTTCCGACCTCTTCCCTCTTCTGCTGCTGCTGCTGCTGCTGCTGCTGGGCGGTGATCCCCGCTGGCCGGGCATCACCGGCGGCGGAGGCGGCGGACTGCGCGGCGCACCGAGCCGGACTGGAACCGCATCTTTCTCCCCCCTCCTCCCCACCGCCGGCTACGGTACTCCCGAATCAGAACGAGCTACTACTTGACGAAAACGAGCAGGAAGGACCCTGTCAGTCCCAAGTTACGCGGTTTTCCTTTCAATCAAGACCACGGTTTTGTCGGAGAAAGCGCCGCCGCTTGCCAGCTCGTCCTGCCGCCGGTCCGTCGTGTCCGCTCCCCGGTGAGCCCCCCACGCCTGTGCTCCGGCTCCCTGGCGCACTGTGCTGCTGGTGGACAAGGTGGGTGCGCTTGCTGGAGAGGCGGAGCTTGGATTTCAAACCAAGGGGCTCTGGATAAAGTACACTCCGCCTGCTGGGGATGTGAAGATCAAGAAGTGTAAGAAATTACATCATATGGGCTGCAGGCTGGAGAGGAGATGGTGACAGGAGCAGAGAGCGTCCTGATTTATGAGATCATCAACCTACCAGTAATTAGTTGACCCGCACAGACACCATTTGACTTCCAGGGACCATTACTTTAAAATAATAGTGGTACAAGGTCATGTTGGGGTAGAACTGCAGCAATTAATCGATCAATCAGTTAGTTATCGATGATTTATTAATCACTAACTGCTTTGATTATCAATTTGAGTCATTTTTTTCAAAAGCAAAAGGGCAGAAAATGTGAAAAGTTTTAATGTTCTCCCACTTCGGAGGGAGTAAACTAATATCTGTGGGCAAATGGAATTAATCAATCGATCAATCTGTTAGTTATCAATGATTTAATAACCACCAACTACTTTTAATTATTACTTTTAATAATTTTTAAGAAGAAAAGGGCAGAATTCTCTGATTGCAGCTTCTCAAGTGTGAATATTTTCCCTCCTCTGTGACAGTAAACTAACATCTGTGGACAAATGGATGAATTAATTGATTAGTCAGTTGAAAATGGTGGAATTCTCTGATTCCATCTCTTTAAATGTGCTTTTTCTCCCATCTCTGTGACAGTAAACTGAATATTTTTGGCTTAATGGATTAATGAATTGACTAATAAAGTCGCTGTCAATAATTAAACTCATCACCAACTATTTTGATAATCATGTAATCAATTTGAGCCATTTGTTAACAAGGAAAAGTAAAAAAAAAAAGAATGTGATTCCAACTGAACATGTTTGGGTTGTGGACAAAACCAGACATCATCCACTGTGGGCTTTGAGGAACACATTGATCACACTGATTTAAACCGATTGACATTTTGTAGAGCCAACAACTAAGTCCATAAATCAACAGTGAAACGAATCGTTATTTGCAGCCTCGAGTAGGAACATCCATGAAGATGTCATATTATAACATGATCCAGTGACACCATCTGAAGCCGTAACAACCACTCTGAGGCTCCTCGGTAGTATCACTACACTCTTTTTACTGTGTCCAGACGTGCATCTGTCTTGACTGTAAGTCTAAAATAAAGTGTAAGACTACACCACCTGTTTGTTTAGGTACTGAAACGTTGTAAGTTAAGTCTAAGTCATAAAGCCTCTAAATTTAGAAAACTGCCTGTCTGCACATGACTTTGTGGTCGAGGAGATGAATAGATGATCCATCCCTACTGCACCACTGTGTGCGTGTTAGTGATAGGAGTGTGTAGGATGGATGGGATACGTGAGATGGGACCAGGGAGCTGCAGATGGAGACGCCACAGGAGGAGGTATGTGCTTGTGGAAGAAGGAGGGGAACTACAGCGATATGACCTCTGTGGTGCAGTTGGCCAGGTGTGGGCTGTCTCCTTGAATTAGTGCGCTCGTAACCATCTCAATAACGCACGTCTCTTTACAAAATGGAAAGGAATGAGCACGCACATGCACACGTGCATGTTATTTTCCTGTCGCACTTAATCTCTCCGTTTTGTGAGCCAAATGTTCTGGAGGTCAGGGCCAGGAGCTCCTGGGGGTCCAAGAAAGCTCCAGGAGATCCCAGTCAGTCAAGAGATTATTCCATTTTGCAAGAGGAAGAAGAATACATCTCACTATGATTGGTCTTAATGCACATCTGTCCAACAGGTCTGATAAGTAAACTGACTCTTTGTGATTGTTATCAGCCATGTGGTCTGTTGCTGTATTACTGGTGCTCCTTCACCATCCATCTGCTTTAAAACAAAAACACTATATGTGGTGTAACCCACAAGAAGTATTTACGTGACCATTTAAATCTCAAACTGGCAACTTTAATGGTCCTAAAAGTGAAGTCTTATAACTGTGGTATCCATTTAAAGGATTTAGCCTGTTCAGACTATGAACTTCGTGTCACAGCGCATGTTCATATCATAGCTTTGTCTTTTTTGACTTGTCGAATGTGTGATGTAATTCCTGTTTAGTTAGATCTTGTGACCCTGAATGTGAAAACAAATAGATCTGTGTCAGAACAATAAGCCCTGGTGGAACGCAACTAAGTACATTTACTCAAGTACTGCACTTAAGCACAAATCTGATGTACTTGAACTTCAGTCTTTTCTTTTCATGGCCACTACTGCTTCTGCTCCACTACTTCTCAGTAGCTCTCATCCATGTTCTACTTTTCACTCCACTACATTTATCTGGCAGCTTTAGCTACTTAAACTACTGTTTTTGCACATAACGCAAATGAAAAACTAACATAATTTAAAGTTTACACAAGCACAGCTGAAATGATTAGCTGATTAATCAGTGTGTCAATTGAAAGAGAATAATGACAAAAATGACAGAGTGCTTGTTACGGCGTCTGGTGTGAATTTTTGAAAAACTATTCAACTGATTAATAAGAAAATAATCATTAGTTGTAGTTTAAAACTGAAGTTACAGTTTTAATGCAGGACTTTTACTTGTAATGAGGCACTTTTTATGTGTGACAGCCTTTTTGCATTTACATGTGAATAGTGTGTATGACTTGTTCCTCCACCACTGACAATAACATGCAATCATATTAGTCATTTTACTGATGATTTTCTATTAAAATCAATAGAGAAAAACATTTATTAAGAGCTTGCTTTGTTCAACTTTGCTCTTTAGTACTACCACTAGTCAAACACATCCCATAGTGCCTTTAGTCTGTTTTGCTTCTAATGCTATACACAGAAACATCTTTAGAATGATGCTTGCATGAACGTGTGCCCTGTAAAGTGTTTGTGGGAATAATTTTGCATGTCTCATGTAGGTGTGTTTTTCATTTTCAGTAAATCTGCTGATGATTTTATTTAATAATCAAGAGTGAAAACACTCATTAGGAGCTTGAAAAACTGGAAGCAGCACATTTTTTTGGCACTTTTGCTTGAATTTATGTAAATAATTAATTAGCACATTTGTTGCTGATTAATCAAACTACATATTAATCAGCTGAGTCACAGAGGCATCTTCTCATTACTGCTAATTGACTAAAAAAAAAACGGAGCTAAGACCATTTAAGGGCATTTTTAAAATAGTGCAATAACAGCAATTTAACTCAGACATTATCTGAATTAAAATGCTTTTTTCTTGTCAAACTTAGACATCATCCCTATACTAATATTCTAACTCTCTATTTCACTCCTCCTCTGTGTTTCCTGGTTAAAACTAAACTCTGTGTCCCTCCATAGGCTGATCTCTTGGTTGATGGTCCCTAGGTGGCTGGAAACCGTCCAATCAGCTGCAGGAGGAGGAGCCGAGGATTCTCCTGCTATCATTACATTTGACAGCTGCTGCAGCAGCTCACATGACCAAACAACAATTACCTCATACATGTAGTACTCCTGCTGAAGGTGTTGCATTAGAGACACTGCTCCCTGAACTGGGCTGGGCAGGCGAGAAAAGATCAGATGAATGGTCTGATCTCTGACGGATGCACCTCACACTCTCCGTCCACTGAAACTCCCAACATCAATCACCATGATGCTTGTCCTCTCCTAAAGCTGCTGGTGGGGTTTAAATGAAAAGGTGAGTGAGTATAACCTCCAGTCATCACTAGACCAACAGCAACCAGCAGCAAAAGAAGATATATAATCTTCTATTTCTGACCATCACAGCATGAACATACAGTCTGATGCTAACTGCTCTTACTTGATGTATATCATGAGTCTGCAGCAACCACGTTAGGTGTTTGACATTTGACATGTCCATCAGCGTTCTTACGCAGCGTGCCAGTCGTTCAAACCCTCCATCCATTATCTATACACCACTTAACCCTCACTAGGGTCGCAGGGGGCTGGAGTCTATCCCAGCTGACTCAGGGCGAAGGCAGAGGACACCCTGGACAGGTCACAACCAAGCACACTCACATTCACACCTACGGACAATTTAGAATCACCAATTAACCTCAACATGTTTTTGGATTGTAGGAGGAAGCCGGAGAACCCAGAGAGAACCCACACTGCACGGGGAGAACATGCAAACTCCACGCAGAAAGATCCCGGGCGTCCTAACCAGGATGCAAACCGGGGATCTTCTAGCTACAAGGCGACGGTGCTAACCCGAGCAGCCCTCGCTCAGCCGAACATATCTTCATTTTTAAATTTGAATCAAGCTCTGATAGTGATGTAATAAATCCACAGGGACAGCTGATATCGATGTGGAAGTATGTTCTTATCATGACGTGACGTCCACATGTTGTCGTCTGATGTGTGCAGCCATCAAAAATGTATCTAGGATGTGAATATTTCACTCGCTGTCATATAGTGTTACTGCAGCACTTGACCAGCCAGAACATGTGTGCAGTCAAACAGGATGGAGAAAATATCTTTGGATTTACATAAGGTAGAATAAAACATTTTATTTTTAGAGGACTGGTTGGCTTTATTTCACAAAAAGCAGGTCATTTAAAACGGAACACAAGATTTTTAGACTTTTGCCTCCACAGATGGTTAAACTGTGGTACAGTTCCTCTGGCTGGTTATGTCATCAGTGCAATAAATAATATTTTGCCATTCTCACATATTACGCTTCTACAGGAAATAATAGTTTGTCTAAGTTAGTTAGCTATAATACATGTTGTGTCATGTAGGTGCTGATCTCATTGAGACTTAGGCTTAGTCTAAACAAATACAGATATATTTTCCCGCTTTTATTCTAAAAAAAAAGTGTCATTGTCCACATGAACATTTAAAAAGTGCTGTCAAGAGCCAAACTAACAGGGGATGCTATAACTCTAACCCTAAAGCCACAGTGACCAATCAGAAACCTGGAAAAAAGGCATTGCTGGTTCCAGCAAGCTACCAAAAATTCCATATCAAGGAATGGAG